CCCGTCTTGGTGCGCTGTGCATAAACTCACGTACCGATGTTGGGAAGCCTGGCGAGTGCCGTGGTTGTTCGGTGGCTGTCCGGACGACCGGAGACCGCCGCCGCCGACCCGCCACCGAGCGGCGGCCGGTGTTTTTGCCGGGCTGGGCGACCTGGATGCGCTATGCGTGGCACGCGGGCGGCCATGAGCCGCGGGACAGACGGTCGGACCGACTGGCGGCGGGGCATGGATGGACAGTGGGCCGGGCATAGACGGACTGCTGGCGGCACATGGACGGACAGCGGGCATCGGTGGGAGCATGGCACACGAGATACCTAGTTGAACAAGTCGGGAGCCTGGCAAGAGAGTAGGGATCTCAAGTTGAGCAAGGTAGCGAGTCTGCATTCATGTGGGCTTCGCCTTCAGCTCTCCGAATTAAAGCTGATTCTTCGTAAACGCCGTAGAGCCTTGCTGTGGATGTGACAATCTCCAACTTAAGAGAAATGAAGAAGTTATTTAGATGTGGGTGCGTGCTGTCAGTGACAGCCAACGCACGGCTGCTCGTCTTACCCAGTCCACCGAAGCTCGCCGAATTCCACGGAACACGCCGCCCACCAGCCCATTCTGGAGATAAATGAACCGTGCCTGAAGATGTGACCCGGGACCACGGCTTTCTGCAGAACAGTTTTAGGAGTAGCGAAAATGGAACACCAATTTGAAACTGTCGCCCCAACAGATTAGCTACCGTAGCGCCGGCTTTAGATCGCGTCGATCCGAAATAGCCAGGTGGTGTATTATTAGAAGCTCTAACATTGTTCTGCATTTGTTTTATATAGTGAGAACGTCCTGGGTTTTCTTTCGTCACGATGTCCGTACGCCTTCCGATATGGCGTAAGTTTTAAACGTTTGACAACCGTATGACCTCCAGCAACCTCACTTGATTGGTTGACCTTTTAGTAACTACACGACCTTAATCTTATGCTGACCGAACTGAGCCTTTCGCAGTTCACTTTTGGCGCGGGATGTCGTGACAGGGATACATGTAGGTCCCCGCGACATGTCTCATTTCCACCTACATCTACAAGTCACCGTCAGCGGAATAGCTGCCCCACATTAACCCCGTCGGTCCGCCTGTTGCTGCATTAGCCTCTGCCCGGGCTGAGCTGAAATCGGCCGTCGTGTTTTGTGTCCATTCTAGGAGACTGATGGTGGCACGAGGTCAGCGTGGCGCCCCCGGACCACCGCCAGCGCGTCGCACCGCGCGTGTTTGGCTTGTAGATGGACCTTTCTGCAGAACAAACAACTGTAATTTGGACGGCTTTGAACGGCCAGAGCAGATTACCTATGCCCCATTGTTTTCTAGCAGAAGCCATTTCGTTATTTGTCGTCTGTTTAGAGTGATTTCCTTGGCTTTGTCAGTGGTCGATGGAGCGATGGGTGAAACGTGACTGGCTCTTCTGTCGGTCAATGCTCTGTCCGATTGGTATATATGGTGGCTGATACGGATCTAAAACGGAGCCTGGCTCAGCGCACCTCTATGTAGACGCCGTTTTTCTTGTTTCATTGGTGGTTGAGAGCGACCCGCGGAAAATGCAGCGAACAGATGTTAAATTTTCTTGTCATTTGTTGCCTTCTTATGTTTTTTTTATATATACTGATTGGCGCCATCCTCAATTTTTAGACACAAGGTAGTGTCGATTTTTTCGTCCAAGACGAACAGGTTTGGCAATTGGCCACCATTTGATATCGCCCTTCTCCATCTTTCTTCCGTAATCGGTGATATAAAGCCGATAATGACAATCGCTGCTAATGTGCACCATTATGGGCTCCTGATGGCTGCGGGCACAGGCGTCATTGAAAATCGATCGGTAATGGCCCATCATTATTTGTGTAAACGACCGCCGGAGTAGCGTTCGTTGTCTTAGCTCGGTGACGATGCATCAGCCACTGGTTTTCTAGTCAGCTCAGGTAAAGCGCCGAGCTGCAATGTGAACACAAACTGGTCGTAATCGCTGTTGGCCTGCCGTATTTGCGCAATTATTTGCTTCCTTGCCGTTGTTGGCTTTTGTGTAGGCATGCATTAGACCGAAAAAGGTTTGAAATAATATAGCAGCGGCTATCTTCTGCGTCGGCATTTTTCAACACTGGTAGTGTCCGTTAGCCCACACGTGCGCGAACACATGTTGGGTGTCTGCTTACTTTTGGCTCATGCTCGCTCTCCGGTTGACATCCCAGTCTCTGCCCATGTCCGGGTGAAGTCCGGCTGATATCCCTTTACTCTGCAGTCTGCCACACCCGACAGTACCAGCAGTGATCGCTGGCTGTCCATCCCGCCAACCTTTCCTCCTCCATGCCGCCGTCCCCCGCCGAGACGACCATCCCCCACCGGCCCGACGGCCATCGCGGTAATCGAGCCGGGCCCATCTGACCACTGAATCATACTCTACGGCGACAGGCCGGCCGCTCACACATACGGAGCGCCGGCGCTTTACGGCCGGCCGCCAATGCTATATGCATATAAAATATACTTGCGCGTCATGCTCATGGGCACAGGCGAGTAATATAATACGGAGAGCGGGCCGTTGGCGCGGATTACCGACCCGCACGGCTGTGCAGTATTTCCCGGTCGGGCGCTGACGCTGTTTGTTATTGGGATGTTCATCAGGCGGTGGGGTTGTGAACGGTGGGCAGGCGTGACTTTGGTGTCTCCGGCGCTGGATGGACGCCTGCTGCTGCACAGTGGATGGCTCTGCTATCGCTGGTCACCCTGACAGTTTTGTCACATTTATAATCACAGCCAACGAGCAAGCGATTACGCTAGCACTTTGTAACGGACAAACGCTTGATCTACGACTGAGGTACTCGGCACATACAGTAAATCTACAACCACCCGTCTCCAGCATTAAATCTACGACCGGACTTGAAGAAACTAAATCTCAGCTCGCCCCTGTACAAACACTAACGCTGATCTGTGTGTGACGTTAACACGGCATCTGAATGCAGCTCCGGAGCCGCGGCTGGTCCCGTCGGCCGGCCGTCAGCTCAGGTCATCAGCGTCATATGCACCTGACGACCGACCTGACGGCCCTCCTCGCCAGCCGGCCGGCCCGGTCACTAATCGCTATCAGATAGGTTTCAGTCGCCGCCCGGGCATGCCGCAAACTGTCGCTGCTCAATGGCACAAATGAGCTTACGATAGGGGCGTCGCCTGCCGCATTGCTCCCGCTCTCTCCTCCTTAGCTCTGTCTCTCTCCCTCTCCGGTCGCCGGCTCTGTCCGCTGCGGTGTGTCCCGTCCCGGCGGCGACCCCGGCCGTCCGTCGCGCCGGCCGACTCGACCCGTGTCGTCCGTCGCCGGCCGACCATTCACCTGTCGCGGCGACGACGCCCGGCCCGGCCGCCGCCTTTGGTTTATGAAGCCGTTGGCTGCACGGCGGCGTCTCGGCGCGAGATGAGCTCGCCGATAGCTTCTGGTCCCCGCCGCCGCCGCCGCCGCCGCCGCGGGGATGCTGGTGACTTATGCTCGGCAGACTGCTGGGTCCGGATCTCCTATATGCTATTCTGGGATTGATATCCCGCTGCAGGCGCGGATACAAGGGGGGGGGGGCCATGGGGGCCATGGCCCCCCCTTGGCCGATTTTTTTTCAAAAACAAAATAAAAAGTTAAAAAGTTAAAAAGCTGAAAAGGGGGCCTCCTGAAAATAAAGTGGCCGAAATCCGATGAGTTTTCTTTTTTTAACCTACCCACTTAGTTATTTCTTAGAAGACTAGCTGAGAAGACTTCTTTGTTAGAAGATTGGTAAAGCTTTTCATAACTTGGAGGTCTCTTATACTCACAGAGATGACCACTTTTACAGGGCCTCCTAACCTGCACAGAGGGCCTCCAAGCCTGCACAGATGTTGAGATGTTGCCTGAACAGCTAGATAAGCTCAATAGACGCAGTTTTTTTTTGGGGGGGGCCAACAAGTGGGAAGATGGGGCCTCCAACAGGTGGGATTATGGGGGGGCCTCCTGGTTTCTAATGGCCCCTCCCTTGGAGATTTTCTGGATCCGCCCCTGTCCCGCTGTGTGATTGGACTCCGGATGCCGTTTTTCTGCGAGGTATGCGCGATTGCTCTGTAGACCAGCATGGGCTCAGACTGCTCAGAGATATCCAATGATCCAATATGAGACGTCTATTCAAGGTTTTCCTTTGTTGTATCAGCAATACCGAGGCTGGATAGGCCCGTGGATCCCACCATTGGCCATTTATTTGTCACCGGGCCGGCCTGGCGTGGCTGATCTGTCTCGTCCCGGCGGCTTATTTAGGAGACAAACAGCCGCGGCGCCGACGGAGACCGCTCGGCTGTCACCCGCAGCCTGCCATCCGTGGAAATGTCCCATCGACGGCGCTAAGCCCGGGCCCGCCGGAAATAACACGGGCGGCGCAGATGGCTGCGGCGGCTCGTCGGGACCGTGTGCTGTGGCTGTCACCCACCAGCCTGCCTGCCGTGCAGAGAAGACGGCCGTGTTGAATAAAACCCCGTGTCTCCCGACTGCGTTTCATTTGGCTGGCTGGCGACGGCGGCGGACTGGCAGTTTTTGCATATGTGAGTGTGGTTAATTCGGCCGACTGCCGCACCGGGTGACGTCTGTGCCACGCTCCAGTCGCGCCCCATTACCATAGCGGCCGTTGCTTTCAATTCGGCTATGAATATTCATCTGGGCCCCATTTGAAGACGTGCCGAGCGTCGGCAGTCGCTCCTCGGAGACGGCCTAACTAAATCAGCGCACCGTCTCGCCCCCAGCTCTGCCGGTGGCGATCGGACGAAAGTCGTCCGCCGGGCAGTGGCAGCTCGGCCCGATGTTGAGGGGACTCTGTCGCTGTAATGTGTCTGCTCGGGCGGCCTGTGACAGTGCGTGGTGGGCAGAGTGTTCTGTAGATTGCTGATCTAGGATGCTAGCACGGTGTTAATTGACGTGAGGTGCCGGCAGGTCTCGCTGACTGTGACAGGAGCTGACAGTTGTCTGTTCTGTTGACAGGTCGGACCGTGTGGCGGAGGGGCCTGGTGCGATCACTGCGCTCCTGTCTGCGGCGAAACGGTAAGTGCCCGAACTTCAAGTCGCATTGATTTTTAGTGACTTGTTGTCTGTTGAGTACCTACCTATTTGGTGACTGTTTGTAGCGCATATCTGTCTCATGGAAAACAATGTGATTTCATTGTCTGGGTGATTGATGATATTTTGTACTTGTGCAACGTGCATCCTACAAGTGTCTACTGTCTTTCTGTCTAATGTCTGTCTATAATGCCTTTTTTGTCACTTAAGATACGGCTTCTGAGTTCTGGGTTGAATCAGTAAGTCATCAGTTATTTGGGGGTGGGGGAATATCACAAATAAACAGCCAGCGATGAACCCCAGGATGTTTTGTGTGGGGGTGTTTCACCAGTTTCGCATTGCGGTGACTGTCATGGAGCTTCCCAGTGGAAAATCTCTCCAGATTTTCCAGGAGTAACCCTACTCAAGCTAGACGTTTAGTCTGTGGATTTCCGTTTGCACTAACCACAGAACATGTCCTACCGGGAGGTTTCTCAATAGACACGGGCTTGCGGTATGTTTCGGTAACCAGCGTCGTTTTTATCTCGCTCTTGGCGGTCATGTTCTGCGGCTGCCCATTGATGTTTTCATCCGTGTCACTTCCATTTAGGTGTCATACGGGACATGGGTTAAAATAACAAAATGGTTGTAAAAGATTGTGAATCAACAATCGATGGCCATTGGCTAGCGCAGAGTTACAAATTCTTATTTTGCGAGTTGCGACGCATGCTCTTGACGATGTTTTTAATCAATTTCGAAGGAGTGATTACTCTTCTCACTCCTCTTCGACATAGACTCGAGAATATTGAAGTGTTAGGTACTCGAGATTCAGGGATTCGGGTGTTCGTACTGGCAGCATAGTCACATCGTGAAATAGTGTGAAGATGCGTGTGTCGAGATTGCATTGCGGTGCTAACGTTGCCAAGGCCCTCCTTATTCCGAGGACAGCTGAACATTTCGTCGCCGCGATGGGAAGTATTCAGAGGAGAGAAGCATATGAGAAATGTGTTTTACATGGTAAATTTGCATGCTAATGAGCACAGTTAAATCTCATCATTCCCTGAAAAGTAATTCCTTAGAAAAAAGATATTTCACAAACCATTTTCGCGGGATTGCGAACTTGCGAGGTTTTATCGTCAGTCGCAGTCTTGCAATTTGCAGCTATCGACCCATGTTCATGACTCGGCACTCGGCAATGACAGACGTCAACTACCGGGCAGGGGTGCCACCGAGTGACATGTGGCCGGCCTCATTAAGCGGAGTGCCTCAATGAGCGGTGGCACGACTCAGTGATGGAAGGAGGCGTGTCGCCCTCAGTCCGGGGTCTCTATATCCAGTGCAGGTGGAGCCGCCCCGTTACAATTGATGGAGGCGAGGTTACAGTTGATGGCAGTGACACTGATGGCGGCCGCTGCGGGCTCCGTGTCGGCCGGCCGTGGCTCGCCGGGTGGCCTGATGATGGGTCACCGGGCGCACCTGGCCTGCCCGCCGCCCCCCGCCGGGCGGACCCTGTCGCCGACCCCCGCCCCGGCACCGGGGCTGTGCAGACGGCAGCGGGCGCCGTCCGGTCACAGCTCTGCCACATCGCTCATGTCTGTCTCGGGCCCCGCCCACCGCCAGCCGCCGCCGGCCCTGCAGCCAATCCGCGCCGCCGAGCCGAGCCCCGCGACCAATCATAGCCGAGCGGCGGCGCAACCGGCATGCAATGTTGCACTGTTTGGGGGCGGCGGGCCCGGCAGTCGGCGGCGGTTGTGGTGACGGTGCGGCGCGTCAACTGACAGTGGAGCCTCGCGCGACCGGTCGGCGGTGAGTGCCGCTGAACGGGGTGTTGTGACTGGTCTGTCGGACCCAGAGCTGTGGATTCTGGATATCAGCGATAAGCTGCGTACGATAAGGTAATGTGGCTTTGGGAAATACCTTACTAGTTACTACTGTCTCCGGCCGTGGTGTAATAGCAAGTTCGCACATCGTGCTCATGATCAGACCAATTTTGGCCCTATTTCGGTCGTGCGTCACACCGACAGTGGCGCAATGCCCCGGTTTGTCAACCATCTTCGGAAAGAAAAACACCTGTTCCGGCTGTGATGGTTCATGTCGCTAGCGTTTTTCCTGCCCGCGGAGCAGCTTGCTATTTGTCCTGGCATCGTGGTCTTGGGTCCAGCACTGGGGATGGGTAGGTTAGAACACCTGTAGAACAGCACCGCCGCGCACCTCCGACGTTTTCCTCCGGCCGGTGAAGTGCCAAGGCCAGAGGAAAGTCACCCAGCCGGACTCGGATCCTCATGGACTAAAGTCAATGCAGTCTGCGGTTCGCTGAAGTCGGTACTGGCCCTGTGCTGTGTTTCAAGCGAAGGCGATGTGTTTATCGAGTGCGATCCCATTTCCTGGACCTGATTGGCGTTTACGTCTTTCATGTCTCGTGAGCCATGATATTGATGTCGAAGGATGAAGACAATGGTCTTATCTTCGCCGTTTTATAATTCAATGGCTTCATCGATTTCGGTGGCAGAACAGGTCAATGTAATGATTTCAGCAGAAGTGGTCGTCTTCTGCTGGATTCAAAGACATCCTATCCGTCGGTCAAAAGAAATTGATTGTTATGCAAACTTCTGTCTCTTTGCAAGCTTACGTAGCGTAGGGGAGAGTGGGGCAAAGCGGCCACCCGGGGCAAAGCGGCCACCCATCGTTTTAGCCCTTCATAGCTGGCGTCAGTTCCAATTTATGGTTTCCAATTATACTTCTCTCCACGGTCGTTCGTATGAGCCAGACCGGGGTTTCAGGCCCATCACCATTGTTCTGTGAAACACGGAAAAGCATTTCTTGCCAGGTTACCAACTATGTTTACAGTTTTTAAATGTTATGTTATTCCATAACCGTTTGGAATTTTTATAAGCGTTCTTGTCCACGTATTGCATGGTTATTGTACATGCGTTCTACCAATTTTAATGTTTTTTACCCCACTAATAGCTAAGCTGGAATATTTTTGTCTCGGACGGTATGCGCGGGGCAAAGTGGCCGGGGCAAAGTGGCCACCCCCCCAATTGGCCAAAGTTGCTTCCATCTGGATAAAAGACATTATTTATATTCAAATATGTCGTCATGCATTCATCTTGGCCACTTTTCAGTTGCATGAGTTACCAAATAATGCAATTAGATGTTTATTTTCATGAAAATCCTTTCTTTGTTTACCTACAGGTGGAAGATGATAAAGTAAACATCCATCCTCGCTTAACCTTGTCACCATCAAATACCCTAGTCGTACACGGGGCAACTATTTTGTTTCTCATATCGGGGCTTGAGAAGACGCCGGTGGCCGCTTTGCCCCAGGGTATGGGGCAAAGTGGCCAATATGCATAGGTTTAAAGTTTTGTCAATATCTTTCATATGTGAACGCCTTTGGAAATAAAACGCAGTTGAAATAAAAGGCAACTTAATAGGGATCACATTGGTATAGAAAGAATCTTTCCAAGTTTAAAAATCAAGCGTTGGCATCGTGAGAAGCGTTAGGGTGGCCGCTTTGCCCCACTCTCCCCTACCTATGGCTCAACAATCAGCTTATCAAAATACTTCACAAATAAATGTAAAAATATGTCGCGTTATCTACTTACATATGTAAAAATGGTTTTGTTATTACTGTAACTAATTTTGCTGGTTACTGGGGTTTCCAAAAAGCCATTTGAACGGGAGAGGACAACGGCGAGAAAATGATCCATCTCCAAGTATTGGACTTCATCATTTATTCGTGGTTTAGTTTTCTTTCTTTTCGGAAACTGACTCGAATATGACAATCACTGCTCGCCAAACAGAAACCAGAAACGAATCCCATTGACATTTATTTGAACTTTTCAATAATCAACCAACGCTTGTTCAATTCGTCACAGCGATTAGCAGCTTTGGATTCTGATAGCTTCGTCGATAATTTGTCGCTGTGCAATTATTGGACTGATAAACAAACCAGCTGTCAATTAATGTCAAAGCTGAACTGGGTGGTCGATGGATATTCCCTGCCCTGAGTGAGAGTTTGACAACCGTCCCTCAGCTTCCTGGATAGATAGCTCAACCTAACGAAAAGGACGGGGACATTGCCGATAATGCGACATAACGAAAGGCCAGGCGATATGGCTGTTGTCCACCAGTCCGGCCTTCCTTCCCTGGTTTACGTTAACAGTCGCTAGCTGTGACTCCTGAGAGTTCCTGTGTTTCCCCGGATTTCCGGGAGTGGAGTCGATTGTGTCTGACCGGTATTGATCCTGAGAGTACTCGGCTCTCAGCGCTCTCGAGTCGAGCATTTCTGGCAATCGGTGCGTAGCCGGTTATCCGTGAGGCCACTAATGGCTCACTATCCATTTATCACCCGGTCCCGACCTCCCCAAGGTACTGTGAACCTCCGAGCCTGAGCCATTTCTCTAATTAACCCAGCTTGCAGCGTTGGCGTAAATTGGAAGAGCAGATGTGTTCGGCCGCTCGGGAATCCTGAACCTGTTGCGGTAAAATTTGCTAGAACTTGGAATCGGGTGCGAAGTCATGATGTCTTCGCGATCGCGAAAGGTACATGTACGCTACATGATATGTTGGTGTCTTCCGAATCTCGACTGATGTCGCTCCTGTTCCTGACGACTGTCATTGCGCGCCGTGACGGCCCCACCGCGCCGGTGCAGTGGCTGGCTGAAATGGTATCTGAACCAGCTGTTGATCCCTGGGCTGTCGGCTACGGCGGCTCTTGTCGGTACTGCGCCCTCGTGCTGTGGGTTTTGGTGACCGACGGGCGGTCTGAGCTGTCGGCGGCGGCAGTACCTATCCGTCCGCACTTCTCTCTCCGGCGCAGCGTGTCGGTCCGCTGTTTGGTTTCTGATCAGCGGGCAGTGCCTGAGGCTCGGAGGCGGTGACGAGCTGCGTTTGCACACTTTTGTCGTGTGTTTGTGTATCAAACAAAATAAGTATCGCCTCGGCCATTGACGAAAGGTCTTGAAAGCATTACGCTCAACACTGCAATGCACTATTCATCACGTAAGCTGTCGTCATGAATATTTTAACTGGCGTCCATGCTAAATGTCTTCGCTTGAAGTTGGGTTTCATTGCTGTGCGACTTATGAGCGTCATGAGTGCCCGTTGATCGATTGCCGGTCCGCGTCGGTATCGTTCTTACACGGGCCATAATTCACTGGGCCGAGTGCAGGCTGCGGTAATGGATGGCGCTCACCGGCGGCCAGCCATAAACGGCGGCACGACGGCCTCTCTTTGTTCAACACCTGCTACCTTCCGGCCATGGGAGGCTGCGTCGGACGGCCGGAAAAATGTCAGTTCAGTCGGCAATTTATGGTTATTTTATCTAAAATTGTCCATCGTGCTGCCCTAGCTACATTGTAATTAAAATGTAATCCGGTCATTTTTACCTGGTAAATATGCAATTCCTTGCCTCAAAGTGACTGGATTTTTTTTCCATTTATTCGTCTGTTTCCTTCTATCAATTTTCTGCCCTTTCTGTCGTGGTCATCGATCAGTGTCGTATCCATCTGCATTTCAGATAACTCGATCGCTGTTTCCATCTTGATTTCCCCGAGGCCTTCTTTCTCGCCTATGTATATTTATGCAGCGCCGTTTGATTGGTTTAGAAGTTTGGGATTATCCTACAGACGGACAGCGCTTCCAAGTCGAAAACACAATTTTCCGTCAAAACATCAAGTAAAACTGTGTTGCATGCCTCATATTTGCTGAGTTGATCCGCACATTGCCTATGACATGCCAGCAAATTTAGAAAATAAGTTTGGTCATAATCACGCTGCAACAGGGAAGTGTCCCGGTAACAGGCCAGTGATTGCTGCCGGTATCTCCACACACCCCGTCTCGGCGGTTGGATTCAACGCGTAGCTGGCCGGCGCTCCGGACCACCTCTGCGCCGGCCAGTAACTCGCCGGCACCGGGCGGCCGCCGCTAATCAAGACATGCTCGGCCCCTGGGAAATATGGCCACCGCAGTCGGCACCACCACTTAGCCGGGAGGCTGCAGGAAGCGTCACACGCCCGCACACACTAAACGTAGTTTCCGGTAGCGAGAAGAAACAAGTGTTTGTGATGGGTCATCCCTGAGCGGACATTTGCTTGCCGCTCGATGTGCAGCCACCTGTTGATTAGTGATACCGGAGCAGAAAGCCGCAAAGCACCTTGGGATAGACAGGAAGGCGACGTTCAATAGGAGCTAACGTTCTTGGAAAGGACTTGCTGATATCCAATTCAGAGTTTTTGTACGAATAGCAGCATCTTTTTGCGATGTGATGCAATTTATACCAATAAAATAATACTCTTGATTGGCACAGCGATCTCCAAATGTCACATGAGTAGCAGGCACGTCTCGCAACAAGGATGTCTTTATCCCAGGTCGTCGCATCGAAATATCGTTGGTATACTGATGCCCTTATTTGATCAGGCATCCGATCAGCTGGATATTGCGAGTCTGGTCTGCATCCGGCAGCGTTTTTGGTATTCTGAGACGAGTGGTCCTAGGAATTCCTGTCGTGAGCGTTGCTGCTCGTGACCTGTCACATGGACTGGCGGCCGTCCTAGCGACCTGCCCGGACGCTGACGTGACCGGCCTTCAGGCCGGTGTTTCACGGCCGCTGTTATCACGCTGCCAGCGCATTTCGCGCGCTGACCTCATAGTTTGTGGTCAAGTCACTCAATGGTGGGACGTCCGAGTTTGTTGATGTCTCTATGGAAACCCAATTTGACGCGTGTGCTAGCAGCGTGCTAGCAGCGGCCGTGAAACAGGGCCCAGGTCATCGTTCTGCCTACCGCGGCTGGTCACCGTGGGGGTGCCTGGTCTTCGACCGAGCCGGACTGCCGCTCCGTCATCGATTGTTGTCGCAGACGCCGATTTGTTCCACCTTTGTCTGGCGTATTTCGTACATGACCGTGTGGCGGCGGCGGCCGGCCGTCACGGACAGCTCGTCACGCTGGCGGCAGCGTTATCGTCACGATAACATTTGCCGTAACGGCTGGCTGGACCATGACCTAATGGACTTGGGCATTAGCATTATCGTTTGTTGCCTAGGTGCTCAGTAGGTGCCCTTTGCTGTTACATCGTCCACTAAGTAACACTGATGGAAGCATCCTCGACATCAGGGGTGTCGGAACAGACAACGTTGCCCGCTCGCCCCCTGTGGAATGGCGGAATGGCCGAAGGTGTATCGCCCGCGGTGCCACTCAGTGCCCCGTGGCGCCGCTGAAAGTCTGACGCAGTTACGGAAGGGGCCGTGGTTAGTGGCCGGGGGCGGTTGGTCACTGGGGAGGGGTGGGGGACCGGAGGGGGCTGTTTCGTGACGGGAGCCACTAGCGTCGGTCCGACGCACCGGCCGAGTGGCTCCAGTCGTTAGCCGCCCTTCGACGGCCGGTTAGCGGCGCGTCGACCGACGGTGCCGACGGAGCTGCGATCCAGAGCGCCGCGACACGCGCCGCGGGGCCGGGAGGGATCTACTTTGGCTGTCGTGGCGGGGAGGGGCTGACGTGGGGCGGGAGCGCTGTCATGGGGCCGATTGATCGCTGGAAAGCTACGCGTCATTTGACGGCCGAATTCATTGACATTGTTGAGCACGTGAGCGAGCGATGCAGTATAAATGCATCCATAACGCCGGTGCCCGACGCCATTAGTTGGTGCATATTTCATGATCGTGAGCCACTCTGGTCGGCCACTCGAGGTGACGGCCCATGCCGCTCACCTAGACAGAGTCTGATGGTTTCATCGCTCACCTGTCCGGGCGAAGAAGCCGCGCTGCCGGTTACCGCGCGGCTGTCCGCTGTAGGTGTCCCTCAGTTTGTCCACTGACTTTGTTGGCATTTGGCTTGTTGCGTCGTTAGTCGTACTTTGGCTGATGGTGTGTTTGTGTCTGGGTCTCAGTTGAAGGCGTCTGTTTGTCTGTTTTAGTTAGTTACGCTGCGTCTTTAGGTGCTCTAGGTATGCTATGGCTGACGTTGATCTGTGTCTCAGCAATACCGCGTCGCTGGGTGTTCTATAGCTGACAGTGTCTGTTTCTCTCTATTTCAGCCATGCTGCGCCGCTGGGTATACTACGGCTGCCTGACAGCGGCAGTCGCCCTCTGCTACTATAACGCACTGCAGTGCGACTTCGTGTTCGATGATGTCAGCGCGGTCAAAGACAACCGAGACTTACGACCACACACACCCCTCTCCAACTTGCTCTACAACGACTTCTGGGGCACACCAATGGAGAAGGTATGTTCGTCTCTGGGCTTTTAGTTATGGTATTTGATTTATTTCCAAAAAAATGGCTAAATTTTCTTCGCTCCCTGAAACCTGTGTAGAGTGTAGGCTCGTTTGAAGTAAGCTCCTGCTGCTGGCTACTGTTGTGCCCGCCTGTGTATGTAGATTGTGTAGCGGACAGCGCGGTGGGGCGTCCCCTGTGGCAGTGGCAGATCTGTTATACATTGATTGTCCGCTGCCGTCGTTAAGCCCAGGCCTGTGTCCTTCCCACGACTGCCCTGGCGGTGCGGGTCGAGCTCCGCGGGGACACTGGAACCACGGGAAACTCAGTACGCGGGGCACGCGCGTGCGGCGCTCGGAGAACGACCGCAAGGTCGGAGCCGGACGCCGGTGCCGCTGCGGCCGCCGCCGGGCCCGCGCGGACCGGTGTGCCAATATTGGCCTCTGTCTACGGTGGCGTCCGGTCGACGGTGAGCAAACGCCGCCGGTGGAGCCAACACGGCCACCGCGGCGGCTGCGAATGTCCGCCGCCGGCGCTCCTCTCTCGCCGTCCGTCCGTGTGTCTTCTGTTTCCCATTCTGGCGCCGTGTGCCGCCGCCGTCTTCGCTCTCTGCTATGGTCGTCTCAGAGTCGTCTTGGAGCCATCCTGGTGCGGCGGCGGTGCCCTTGCGGCCCACCTGCGACCGTTGGCTGCCGTGTTCGGAGGTTTACGGGTTGACCGGCGTACGGTACCCCTTCCTCCGGCCTTAGACGGACGACGGTGACCTGTTCGGCTCATGCAGCTGAGAGCGAGGTAGTGGAAAGCAATATGAACGATCTACCTGAGTTGCGGGGTCGAGAGACCGGCATGGGTCACCGCCAGATTCCACGCAGCCCAGGAGCGACCGACCCTCGAGAGGCTGTCTCGGCACGGACAGGCACTACGTAGGTATCCCGTGCGGCGCCCGGCATGGGGCACCGTGTGTGCCGGCCAGGAATGTTGGCCAGTGCACGCCGGGGCGGCCGCGCTGCTCGCTATCGACCAGCCCCATCAGCCGGCGCTGCTCAGAAGTAACCGGATCGCATGATAACGCCGCGCCGCAGCAGTTCCATATATCACGGCATAGTTAGACTGCATATTGATAGGGTCGACTGGGATGAATATAATGGCAGAATCTTGGGATTTGTCAAGTGGAGGTTGGTTTCAGTGCCAAGTACCGGCTGTGAATCCGATGGATTTTCTTTTTAACGGATTTTGTTGAATCCCGTAATAAAACTATTAATCCTTCATATCCGCGTAGGTTTCATTCTTGATTCTCTTGACAAAGCCCAAACCAGGTCCGGTGTGGGACGGGCTGAGCCAGGCCCGCGCGGCGCGCGCTATCTCTGAACATCCGTTAACCAGCTTCGTGAGATCGGATTCCAGGATCTGTTTCTAAACCCCATGCACGTTTCTTCCCCTCGTCCGTTCTGGTCGGCTTGTTTTCGGTAAATCTGCATTCCTGCATCACATCTAGCCTTGTCTGATCAGGCCAGTTTCGGAGTCAGGATTCCTTCCACTTCGGTGTCACTCGACTTCCAGCGTGTCTTTCTGATCTAGTCCAGTTTGGTCGGTGATTTGTCTACCAGTTTAGTAAAATGCCGTTCTGTTTTAGGGCTGTAAAGTCGGGTCCGGAGCCGTTCACTGTTAGCTGATCTCTGTTAAAACAGTCTTCAATTTGTTCATGGCTGTTGCACCCCCTCATCCGTCGTTCAGTGTGGCTCCGTATCTTCGCCTCCCCCGGTGCAGCCCCCCCCCCCTGCCTCTCCCGTCAGCCGCAGCCAGCGTGGACTGTGAAGCAGGAACAAAAATGTCGCCAATGTCAAGGCTATTGGAGATAGTTATCTGCAGACAACATACGCGGGATGCCGCCATCTCTGTGAAATCGCCGCCTGCCTTATATCCAAGGTCCTATATCCGCCTAGCTCGACTGCCAGTGCGACGTTCACTCTCCGCCGTCCACCGTCTTATTTCCACCGTCCACCGTCTGATGTCCACTGTCTGCCGTCCACGGTCCTGTCCACTGCACGTCAAACCCGCTAGCCAACCGACGGGCAGTCCACCGGCCAACGTCAACGTCCGCTGCCTGCTGTAATAATTCCACAGTCCACCGCCCTTCTCACCCAAACTTTTGGACTCCATTGTCTGATGTTCGTTGTTTTAAATTCCCTTTCTTTGCCTCAGGCAGACAGCCACCAGCCGCCGTTTGCCGTCCACCGCCATCCACGTCCCCCACCCGTCCACGTGACAGGACGCGGCCTCCTGTCCATCACACGGCTCGATTGTATTTTAACAAGATATAAAACGGCTGTCCTTTGTCTCCGATCTGTGTAATAAAGATGTGTATCGTTCGCTGGTAATGTAGATAATTAAAACGGCGGCATGTTCAAACGAGTGGGACGGCACGCCTAGAATCCCGAGCGGGCTGTGTCCTTCTCTGTCGATAATCTGTCTTTCCGGGCGCCTTTATTTCCAGCTGAAGATGTCGATGGAAAGGGTGGAGTGGGCACACCTCAGCTCTCCACCTGTTTATTTTCTCTATCCTCCTTCACCTTAGATAAATATTATGACTCGTGAGGACGTCGCTGTATGCTGCAGCCTCCTCTGCCGCCTGGCTGCTCAGGCCGTCAGTCTGTTTTTCCGTGCCACCCACAGTGCCCACTCAGCGGCTGGGCTGCAGCCGTGCTCGCCACCTGGGATTTCCTCTGCGGGCCGAGCGCCATACGGCACGGCGGCAGGCCGTGGGCGCCTCCTCAGCCGGCCAGGCAGCTCGAGAGGCCCTCTGCGTGACGGCGGCCGTGACGGGCAGGTTCGGCGCCGCCCCCGCCCCGCCCCCGCCCCCGCCCGGCGCGCAGTCCGCCCGCCCGCTGCCGGCTGGTCCTGTTTGATTTGCATGACCTCACCGTCGCATAAATTGGCGCCGGTGACAATGACGAGGCCGACGCTGGTCGGTGGCCGCCCTCGGCTGGCATCCGCCCCCGCCCCCGCCCCCGCCCCCGCCCCGTGCCGTGCGGGTGGCCTGGCGGCGGTTAATAAGGTGGACACAGCGCAGTGGACAGGTCACTGGACAGTGGACAGCCAACAGCGTCGTGTGGCGCTGGAAGGACACGGTAGTAAAGTTGAGCTGATTTGACGGTGGGCGTGGCGCTATAAAAGCTAATTGTGCAGCCCTTTCAGAGCTCCGTGGCTTCGAATGTCTGAACTGATAATCCAGTCGTTTGGTTCGCCCAAGGCCCTAAAGGTTCGCCTTTCCTGGCTGCAAACCATGTCACCTCGATTTCCCAACAAGATCGTCCGAGTGTCCTACTCGGTATCCCTTTGCTGCTTCTGTCTGTCGTCCTTTCGGCGGTCGTCTATCAGTGATCGGTCTCGTCTGTCGGTCGGTGGCCGGCGGCCGGCGCTCGCAGCCACACGTGCTCACCGGACGCTGACACGCCCAGACCCGTTTTTCAATTACGCGCCGGCGGCCGGGAGTGCGGCGTCATCGTCGGCCGGCAGACTCTGATTTATCCCCGTGTTTGTTTCACGTAATGAATAGCGCTGCCTTAATCACGCCCGCCACTGGACTGCCGACGAGTGGACGGACGGACGGACGGACGGACGGACGGACGGACGGACGGACGGGCGAACATGGACGGACGGATACACGGACGGGCAGACGGACGGACGGACGGACGGACGGACGGACGGACGGACGGAGCGCCGCGCTGGCCGGACAACGGTGCAGCGTACGGCGCTGATCATGGCGAGCGGGTCAGACGGGCGTGGTGAGAGCCGCGGGTACGTCGGTCAGCGCAGTCAGCGGGCCGGCGCTGACCGTCCGGCCGTGCGGCGGGGTCGGTGCACCGCGCCGGCCAGCCGGCCCGCCCCCCGCCGAGTACTGCACGGTCGACCCGCCCTGCCGGCCGGCCGACCGACCGGGCGGCGTATTCGCCAATTGTATTACACGAATCGGCCAACCAATAGCTTGCCTCCTGAGTGACGTCAGCGTGGCGTCATACTTTCGGTCCTCGCACTGGTGGCGTCTATTGAAGCTAGGTTTTAACTTATTGACATTTAAGCTACATGAGGTACATTATCGCCGTGGCGAAGTGGTTAGAGTATCGGACTGGTGATTCAGAGGTAGGTGGTTCGAATCCACTCGGCGACTTCGATTTTCGTGTCATCTGTCATTGTGCGTTTTTTATACATTTGTAACGGCGTGCACCTAAGAAATCAGACGTAGGCATTCTTCTAATGAATATGTTGCATAAGATAGATATTTGCAGTCCAACCGATTGGTTCGGTTTCGGTATTTTCCAATGGTCTTTGTTTGTATTTGGTTTGGTAGCGGTGTTCTGATTTTCTGTGATTGACATCACTAATGCATAGTGCATACTATGCGAACGTAGCCAATGGAAAGACAAATGGTGCTGGGCGATGGCCATTCATTGATCAATATTTCTCACTGCCAATGGGTGATAGCACGCAGCATTGACAGGGGCGGCGCTGACCTTTTGAAAGTAGGTGGGCACTTGGCAAGGTAAAGTACCTAAAAGTAGCGAAACCTAAGATAAAAAGTAAAAATCGCACGCTGGTAAGCAGGCTATTAGATAGCTTTTCGTGTAAGAATCACCATGCACAAAAAAAGTTCGGCATAGCTGTTAGCGTAATCACGGGACGAGATAATCAGTTTCCAGCCGTCAGAGCGTCATCTATAGGAGCTATGCCCTAACTTTAACTTTTACATTTCAGCCGCCAGGGGGATACCTAAGTCCTCTTACTTGGAATCTAGTTAAAGTCAAAAGATTTATATTAGACGTTTATGAAGATAACTTGGGACTGGTTGTTAAGTTGCATGCTCACGGCGGGCTGTCATCAATTTATATCTATACATGTCTTATCTGATCGATGAAATAATACAGGAATCCGTTGTCATTCGAGTGTGTTTCATAATAGCTCTTCCGACTTTAACGAATATCGACAGTGCCGTAACAAAATTGGTAGTTCAGGT